AATGTGTATAGTGAAAAAAATGGTCATCAAATATAGTTTTTCATTAATAAAAAACGGGGGTTACGAGTCTGATGACTAAAAACAATGCATAAATATGTGCTTTTCAATAACAAGTGTTACCCACTTTGTTTCAGTAAAAAATTACGAATTGTATTCGAGAAATTAAAAAAAATTTGTTTTTAGGGGTGAACTTCAAGGGTGGGTTTCACCCCTTAAATGGGCTCATGGGCACGTATAAAAAAATACGCGTCGAATATTTTTTGATGTTCTACAACATATCACAATTTCAAGAAAATCGGTGAGGTACACCTCGGGTACCTTCCTGGTAAGTGAACTTCTTCCATCAATACAGGTAGTTCATCTCTTATTAGCGTTAAATACGTGTGTTGATTAACATTTTCTTCGAAAAAGTAAGGGCCAATCAAATATCCATTAATAATCCCACACCATACCATAATACTCCAACGTCATTGATGGTTTACAGTTCTGACCCAATGAGGATTAACATCAGACCATTCATTACAATTATGTCTATTCAATTCCCCATCACTTTGAAATTTTGCCTCATCAGAAAAAAGAACAAAATTAAATAAGTCTGGATCATTTTCTATCATTTGTAAACCCCATTGGCAAAACACAATACGCTGTTGAAAATGAGCAAACTGTAGCTCTTGGACCAGAGTAATATGATATGCATGATATCTAAGCACGTTCATAATTCTTAAAAATGTACTTTTTGGAATACCGATTTCCCTTTCGACTCGACGAGTGCTTATCTGTGGGTCAAGATGAATTATTGCCAGAATAGTCACAACCCAATTATCATTTTCATCATATTGATGGCGCCCACGTTGACGAACCATGTGTCCACCACGAGCTCTTTGAGTTAAACGTCTGATAGCCATAGCTTCGGGGTGTCGTCTGTCTTGATAGCCTTCAGCATAAATTCTTGCTGCAGCACGATAATTATTTCGGCTTTCTCCTAAAGCCAACGTCATGTCAACGATCTCGTTGGGCACGTAGTCAGCCATTTCAGAGGCAGCTATTAATTATTATTAAATTTGAATAGTGAAATGCTATAAAAAATAATAATAATTATAATATTCACCCGTATACGGTCGCGACCAAAAAAGAAAAATGTTCCTAGATTACGGTAACTTTATCTGACTAAGTATATTTGCCACAAGTGTTCCGATTGTCACACTTTTGTAATTGTAAGTTTTATAATAAAGTAATAATCATTAAATTATTTCTAATTTGAATTGCACATAATACTAAAACTTGCTTTTATTTTAAATATTGTGAATTATTTCCGTTCAAACTTAAAAAATACTAATATTGATAATGTAATCATTAAAAGCACATTTACAAATAAATTCTGTTCAGTCAAAGATTCTTGTAATAATATCTGAACAGCTGACCGATTTTAATATTTTCCGCACATTTTTAATATTAAACTTTATTTTTGATAGTTTGATTCTAGAAAAAATAGCTTTGATGCTTTTTGTACAAAAAAGAAATGTTGCATATTTATTGTTTCGAAACGAATTGACTATTCTTTTTAAACAATCACATTATTTACAGCTCATATCTTCAATTTTCTCATAACTTTCGAAAAAATAAATAAAGATACAACATTTCTGTTTTTTACAAAAAGCATCAAATTAGTTTTTTATAAAATTTACAATTAATAAAGTGTGACAAACGTTTTTCTTTTTCAGTCGCAACCACATACAGGCGAATATTATAATTATTAATATTTTTGATATCATTTTACTATTTAAATTTAATAGTAATTAATGTCTGGCTCTTAAATGGTTGACTATCAGCCTAAAAAGATTATTGACACTACGTTACTTTTAGGAGAAAGCAGAAGTAATTATCGTGGTGCGACAATCGGAAATCAGTATTTCAAGGTAGGGTCGAAGGGACTCACTTAAATCAAGCACGCCGTACAGTGTGAGGCGAAGGGAATTATTTTAATTAAGTGATGTAACTAAATCTACGATCAGTTTGAACCACTTAAGCCTGTGACTCGTGGAAAAACGACTTAAAATGGATTTTTCGGAGTTTGACCTTGATTTGACCTTGAAATGACCGTGAAAAAAATGTCTCAATATGGTTTTGAACGTGAAATTTTCCGCTCTTTCCGAATCCGGGGTCAAAAATAGGTGTTCCTATTCAAAAAAACCACTTGACCTTGAAATAACCTTGAATGTCAAGTTCAAGGTCAAATTTGTTAGGACCATTGTTTGGCCCCCTTCGTCCCCTACAACTTTTGTCTGAACCATTTTTTCCTATCTGTCTTGGAATTCGAAAAATCCAGGTGTAGCGATTAAAATGGGTCACTCTGTATATAATATTATATTATTTATTATATATAATTTTTATATATTTATTACGTTGGATCTTGCACGAGAACAGGTTAAACAAAAGAAATACGTGGCGAAAATATCCTACGGTATCTAGCGATGTTTCTTACATTAGAACTGATGTAAGAATTTTTAGTATGATACTCGAAGTCTCGACCACATTTCGAAATGGTTTTAACCCATTAACGTCCAAAATGTCAAAATTTCTTGCACGTTTTCAAAGTGATTTTTTCCTATGTAATTGGCGTTGAAAAAATTCTTGAACCACATATTCTGATGTAAAATTGCATGCTCTTTCAGAATCCGTTGCCAGAATCATGATAAAACTCACAGGAAAAGAGATATGCTCGATTGAAACATAAAAAACACCTAAATTTTCGAAAAAAAAAATTTTTAGGATTTTTTTTCGAAGTGTTACGGTGAAGATATCACCTTGCGACCGTGATCAAAGGTGATCATGGGATTTGAAGTTTAACAGGGAATTTTTTTGTTTACCTTGAACCATCGCTTCTTTACAAAATGGCGGAAAAAACGAATTTTTTTTTTTTCAATCTTCATCAACTTTTTTCTCAAAATCTATGGTCTTTAGAAAAAAATTCATAAAAACAAAAATGCCTTAGAATCGCTCGAGGAATATTCTCAAATTTTTTCAGAATTTTTTGAGACAATTTTTGATTTTCCGGGAAACTTGGGAAATGGAATTTTCAAAAATGTCTCCAAAAATTCTGAACAAATTTTAGGATGTTTCTCGAGTGATTCTAAGACATTTTTGTTCTTATGAATTTTTTTCTAAAGTCCATAGATTTCGAGAAAAAAATTGATAAAGTGAACATAGCGGCCGAAACGAATTTTTATTTTTTCAACTTTATCAATTTTTTTCTCGAAATCTATGGACTTTAGAAAAAAATTCATAAGAACAAAAATGTCTTAGAATCACTCGAGAAACATTCTAAAATTTGTTCAGAATTTTTGGAGACATTTTTGAAAATTCCATTTCCCAAGTTTCCCGGAAAATCAAAAATTGTCTCAAAAAATTCTGAAAAAATTTGAGAATGTTCCTCGAGCGATTCTAAGGCATTTTTGTTTTTATGAATTTTTTTCTAAAGACCATAGATTTTGAGAAAAAAGTTGATGAAGATTGAAAAGAAAAAAATTCGTTTTTTCCGCCATTTTGTAAAGAAGCGATGGTTCAAGGTAAACAAAAAAATTCCCTGTTAAACTTCAAATCCCATGATCACCTTTGATCACGGTCGCAAGGTGATATCTTCACCGTAACACTTCGAAAAAAAATCCTAAAAATTTTTTTTTCGAAAATTTAGGTGTTTTTTATGTTTCAATCGAGCATATCTCTTTTCCTGTGAGTTTTATCATGATTCTGGCAACGGATTCTGAAAGAGCATGCAATTTTACATCAGAATATGTGGTTCAAGAATTTTTTCAACGCCAATTACATAGGAAAAAATCACTTTGAAAACGTGCAAGAAATTTTGACATTTTGGACGTTAATGGGTTAATATGGTTATTATTACGATTTAGTTCGAGGATTAAAATTTATTTCTTGTATTGGTTTTTAATAGATCTTATTCATTAGGGTTTCTTGTAAAATATTTTTGTGCAAAATTATAGACACTGAAATATTGTCCAAAAACTGTGTTTTTTGCACTTTTAGGTTAGGATATCTCGGAACGCTTAGGTGGATTCAGATTCGGTACATCAAAATACTTTAAGTAAGTGGTATCACACCGCTAGATAATTTTCTTTGTTGGTCGGTGTAATTATAGATATGTAATTAATATTATAATTAATTTTATTTAATAATTCTTTTCCAAAGTTATACATTTTTTACCGAGACTTAAATATCACGTGCCGCGCGCATTTACAGTGAATTCTCTGTCAAGCCGTGCGTACCGCTGTATATAAATAAGCGTCACTCCGATACAGGTGACGCAGTCCGATCAGAAACTTTACTGTCATAACTTTACAGTTAACGTGTTAAAAATTGTTTACTACTTTTTTTACGATAACGTATTTAGTTAGGTATCAGCGAGTTATTCCTCGCGTCCATGGTTCGATTCCTTTTGCGAGCATAATTTTCTGAGATTGTAAATGTTCCAATTAAATCATATTAATTTAGTTGTAAAGATAAGCATTAATAAATGTAATAATTAACATGTGACATTAATTAAGGTAATTAACATATAAATGTTCATATATATAAGAACTGAGATTTAATTTAGAATTTGTAATAAATTTTATAAAACTTACGAGAAATATTTCGTAAAATCTTCTGTACAGTAGTTTTGTTGCTCGGATATATAATATAATATTTATTGCAAGAAAGATACTTCAACGTTTTTTGAAATATTTCGTTAACATTTCATTTAAATATTTTAGAAGCATTCATATGTCCGCACAACTACCAGACAAAAATATTGCATGAAAAGATACTGAAATGTTTCTGGGAATGTTTGTGCTATATGGAAGATTCAAGAATCAAATATAAATTAAACATAGTCAGTCAAAGATGGAAAACAATATAAATATATGTTTGAAAATATATTATAATAATTGAGTTTTATTTAAAAAACAAACGTTTTACATACTTCTGACAAATCTTCATTATATGCACTTATGTATGGACACATACACACACATACACACGCGCGGGCGCGCCCACCCACACTCAGAGTAGTGTTTTCCAAATAAATCATTCGTGGGATTACTGAAGAAAAAAATTATTTTACTAAATTCACAATTAAACAATTTTATTACATACCTTCATTGTATATTAAGAGTTTACATTTTTACAACAAAGTACTTCACAATCAATTTTTCATTAATTTCACTAAGATGAATTCGAAACATTACAGAAGAAATTTTTTCTAATCTATGATTATAAGGAAAGCTACTTTAAAAACAGAGTTAATAGAATAAAATATTTTTTACGATTGTTTTTTGATGACAAAAATTCATGTAAATACAGAATTTGAATGGTTTAAACTCTAAAACGAGTCAAAATTAGTTAATATGTCAGGTCAGGCTTAATTGAAAAAGATCTCCAACTTATATAAGCAAAAACTTATATCAATAGAATAGCAATAATAGATTTATTTCAAGAGCTTTGAATTTTCCAAAAATAATTTCATCCAACTGTTGGATTTTCAAATCTTATGAACTAGATTGTTCTCTTATGTTTATGAAAAATTGGAGATTTTTTACATGCAGAAATGAACTAATGGAAAAATTACTCAAACTTACAAATAATTATTGAAGGAAATTAATATACTACTTATTTTATTATTTGGCATTGTCAGAGATAGCATTGATGATATTAATGAATGAATAAATAAAATAGCACGAAAGATATAATGTAAGTAGCAAATTTTTTAGATAAAAAAAAGTTGCAACACAGAAGAAAGAAATACATATATTGAGTTCCAGTAAGCGAATTAAGACTTTTCTTTTTATCAAAACATTCTTGTGACGATGCTAGAACGTATCGACTTGACTGTCTGATATGAAAAGAAAATCTTGATATTTGCCAAATACTATATTTAGCTATTTAAAGTAGTCTGACAATATCACACTGCTTTTACCGTTGTTTAATTCATATTTCTATACGTAACTATATATATATATATATATATATATATATATATATATATATTACGCTTGTCTATGGATTTAAAACTTAGGTACTTTTTAACAACCATTGTTTCATCTTTGCTCTCTTCCTTTGCCTTAATAAATTGTCTCACAGTTTTCAGTAGTATTTTAACGCTTATCATTATATTACTCATTTCTTAATATTATTATAGCTTCAAAATTATTTATTTATGTAAATCTTTTTTATGCTGGTTTTTGAGATCCCTTCTTACCAATTAGTGATTTATGGATATGAGGAATGACACCTTGAAAAAGTTATGTCATATTAATTTAAATATCATTTAAAAATAATTTAGGAAACTTACCACCACCAGCAATGGTAGCTTTAATCAAACTATCCAATTCCTCATCTCCACGAATGGCAAGCTGTAAGTGTCTGGGTGTAATACGTTTTACTTTCAAGTCTTTTGATGCATTACCCGCCAATTCGAGAACCTGTTTTAATGATATGAATTATTATGTTAGAAAAAAAGATTTTTTTAATTATAAAGTTTATAAGTAACTAGCATATATTTAGTTATATTGTTTTAAATAAAAATAATAAATTAAAAATTAGTTTATATTCTACAAAGTTATTGAATAACTTGAAAATTATGTTATGAAATATACATAATTGAATGTCATACTTATTATAAATTAATACTTACTTCAGCAGTGAGATACTCCAAAATAGCAGCACTATATACAGCAGCTGTTGCTCCTACTCGACCATGACTTGTTGTTCTATTTTTCAAATGCCTATGAATTCTACCCACAGGAAACTAAAACAAAAACATTGTCAGTCAATAAAAGAAATGTGCAAATTACTAATGAATGAAGCCATATTTAAGTTAAATCAATTATTAATAATTAAGTATAATCAACTTCAATCATAATAATAGAAAAACTAACAAAAGAATGTTTTTATTTTAACTTCAAAAGTAATCATATAAAATATTACGAGATAAAAAAAATCATGAAGGTTTTGGAAATGAAAATAAATTAAGTTTAATTCAAAACTATGGATTACACGAAATGAAATGATGTATTTCTTAAAGAGAAGTTCACACTTAGGAAGAATAAATTTGAAATTGAGTTAAGCAAACATAACGGATATTTGAAGGGCATCAAAGAATGAATGTTTTCAGAACTGGTAGTATGAATCAAGCCATTTCAAAAACATTCGGCTACCTGTCCAATAAAAGCGTCAGCATTTTTGTTGGCAAGACTATCGAACGAGGCGACTCGGTTCTGCAGTTAATTCATAAATGTCGTTTATCCATCTTTCTCACTACTAAATAAAATAAATTATACAATTTTTTATTTTATTCAATGATTTAAATTGAAACGTTAAGTCAAAAATGGCTCTGAAAATCGTGAAAATATAAAAAAATAACGTACAGTATTGTGATTAATGTTTAATAATAGTTAACTGCAAATTATAAATGAGAACAGTTTTAAAAAAATGAAGTATTGGAGTTTAAAATTGGAAATTCATTTAAAAGAAAAATTAATCTGTATAAGTATGAAATAGAAAAATTTCAAAAAATAGAATGAGATTTTTCTGAATGCATGAACAAAATAAACCTAAAATAATTATAAGTGCATAGTTTGTCTTGACCTTATTAGTATTTAATAGCTTAGCGAAAGGTTAAGTATTTGTGAAATGTCTGTAGCTTTTAAAATAAACGCCACTAAAAAACGTATTGGTAACTCAGACTTTTCGCGCCATTTCTTCGTCTTGCAACTTTTGTCTTTGTCGCACTCATTGTCAGAAACGAAACGCGCGGCAACGAACGTGATATTTACAGCGGCGGTCGAAGAACGCCACCGTGACCAGGGCCGCGTCTTGTGGTTGCAAATGACGCTAAGTCGACTTTACACGGGAGACCAAAAGAGAAATATCAAAATTAGTGTATTTACCTGTAAACCTGCTCTTGCTGAACGTGAAACTGCCTTCGCTTTTGCCTTGCCGGAATCCTTACCTGCTTTGCCACCAGCCTATAAAACAAGTCATGATTTTTTAGGTTACTTCATCCACTGATTGCGACCAATACATTCATGAATTTAGTATTTCATCTTTAGCGTAAAACTCACCATTGTCTAAAATCTTGTCTGTGTGTCGACTTAACCGTCTAATGTCGTTATTGCGCTACCTAATTCGTTAAATTTTTACGAGTTATTATTTGCCTGCTGCTAGTACTCACACTTACCGAAATTCAACTACTAATCTACTAATGCTTAGCCTGGCCGAAGTGTGCGTCTGCGTAACAACCAAACGGTTACCTACGGCTTGCCGTCTTCTCCTTCCACACAGCTTTCTCTCTCTCTCTCTCTCTTTCTCTCTCTCTCACTCGCTGGCTCTATCTGTGTCTTTTTTCTTCTGGCTCTCCCTCTCTAAAACTTTCAGTGGTTCTCGCTCTCGTTTACACAAAACATGGCTCCAGCTTTATCTCGAAATTTCGATACGATACTCTCGATGTAATATCGACTAGAATTGTTTATCTTCTGATGGCAATGGTTTTCAGAGATAGAATTGTAAATCAAATTTCAAAGTTAATATGTTAAATAGTGAAAATAGAAAATTTTCTCTGTTGGTTTGTAGAAATCATTCTACTTAACATATTGTATGAATCTTTTTTTTCTTTTTTTCCGTTTTTCTGAATCGTCTTTTAAGTACACTGAAGTAGATTTTAAGTGTAGAAAAATTTTGAAATATTCAAGATGGTTGCTAACACAGGAAGTTTGAATAGATAATTAAATCTATTAAAAAATAATTTATAGTACTCTGTAATGTCAGTAAGTGATGTCAACAATTAATTTATTATAAAAAGTGTAGATGGGAATGTACTCATTTCTATTGATAGTAACGAGCTACAGAAGAGGATGTTATTTGTTAGGTGCTCGTTTGGTTAAATTAATTTTTATTTTAATAGATATCAATTATATATTAATTTGTGAAATTTCACCAATATTATAGTTGCTATAATTATTATCCTACATTAAAAATAAAAAGAAACTACAGCGTAACGCGGCTTCAACTGTAGCTATAATTATTAATTGTAATTCATAGCATTTAAATTGATGTTTTCGTTAAATAACTTTGGGATAAAAATTTTACGACAGTTTCAAACGTTTTGAGATATTTATCTTCGGCCTTCTTCAGGCTTAACTTATATGTAACATAGTTACATTTTCATACATTATATTTAAATGTAACTTTAAATTAATAATTTTTGTTAAAACTCAATAGAGTTAGCAACGAGACAAGAGTTAAAGATGTATACAATTTTGATCTGCCGCCCATAAAAAATATTTTTGCGCATAAAATATTTATTTTAACGAATAATATTATCTGAATCATTCATTTTTTAAATAATTGGTTATTTCTAATAAGAAATACTACTTTGTTTACTATAGTGAAACGTGGCTGAGAGAAGAATTTAGTTATTAAATTACTTTAATTATACTTTTTTTCCTAGTTAGCCATAACTCAAAATGCCATTGAAAATTGTAGAAAAATTATATTTTATTTCCTGCTATTAATGACGCATTGGAAGTTACTAAAATGGATTTTAATTTAATAATTTTCAATTATTTTTAATGGAATCGTTGATTTATAATCAAATTGTGAACTAAAGTTAAATCTTTTTTAATACAATTAAATCCCAATCACAATTAATACGAAAATTTAGGATTAATTTCAATCATTTTGAATCATTTTTAATAGTGCTTTCAAAGAAAGCTAATTTAATAACATTTTATATAATCTTTTTAATACGTTTCAATATATTCCTATAAATCACATTTAATCTAGTAATTATCAATACATTCTAATAAATACTCGTTACTTAAACTTTAATAACATTTAATCGAATATTTTTCAATATTTGTTAATATTTTTTAATTTAACACAATATGTAATCGCATTCAATCAAATCATTATCAATATATTTTAATAATTGTTTGGTACTTTAATTTCAGTAACATTTAATCGAATATTTTTTAGTACTTTTCATTACATAGGTCAACATAAAATTTCTTAAATAATAATAGTAATGTATCCCAAAAAATTTCGATGCGCTGAAAACGAATCCATCCTTAAAATTGCTCTATCACGTCACACTTTCGAGATATCCTAACTTAAAAGTGCAATAAAATAATTTTTTTTGGCTATATTTGAGCTTTTATTACATCATAAGACAATTTTTTTCTAGAACGACTCATATAATATAACTTTTACCCTTTAAAATCCGTTTTTCATATTTAGAATATCTTTTTTTTAGCGAGATATCGTCAATTGAAGTCAAGTATTTTAGTTGTATCTCAACATAGCATAGGTCATTGTTTTATCTAAGCCTGTTGCCCTTGAATGTCCTTAAATTAACCTTTATATGACCTTTTAGGGTCAAGCAAATGATATATTCAAATTCATCGATTCAAAATATATATATATATCTAATTTTTTTTTAATTTTTCTTTTAATAACAGCGATTTGACCTTCGAATGATCTTAAATGATAGTGATAGAGGTCAAAGGACCACAGATTTGCGATTCAAATAACCCTTAATATCCTTACAACGTTACTTGCAAGGTCTGGTGCATCGGCTTAGATAAAACAATGACCTGTGCGATGTGAAGATACCCTTAAAATATTTAACTTCAATTGACGATATTTCAATTAAAAAAACAAAAGATATTCCAAATCTGAGAAATGGATTGTACACATTTAGATGATATGAATCGTTTATAGAAAAAAATTTTTTCGTATTATAGTAAAAACTCAAATCTAGCCAAAAAGCGTGTTTTTTGCACTATTAGGTCGGAATATTTCGAAAGTAAGACGTGATATAGCAATTTTAAGGATGGATTTGTTTACAACGCATCAAAATCTTTTGGGATAGATTACTGGTATTCTTAGAGTTAAAAAAGCCTTATTTTGCAGACCTGTGTTATTTGCCAATATAACATAATTACAATCACATTCAATTAATAATTACGCAGGTATACAAGATTTTATACCTAACATACTGTCTTGATTCCCTTATAGTTTTCTTCAATAATAAATTTTGTAATAATGGAAAAAAGGGAAATAGCGCGAGATGGAAAATTCATTTATTTTTAATTATATTCAGCAACGTTTCGTCAGCACATTTGCTGACCTCTTCAGGCTTTATTGACAGAAAAACAACAAATTATTAACAATAAAGTTTCAAATGTAATTTTTAAAGGAAAAATTATGTTTATGTGTGTATTTGATTTCTCTCGTAGTCAAATTATTATAAGCTAAAACAAACAGCTCGTAGACAGTCACGTTACAATAGATTAAGAAATCAAGTATTTCAACACACACACACACACACACACACACACACACACACACACACACACACACACACACACACACACACACACACACACACACACACACACACACACACACACACACACACACACACACACACACACACACACACACACACACACACACACACACACACACACACACACACACACACACACACATATTCTTCATCTATCATCCCTTCCTCATCGATCTTAATAAAGGCTTATAAATATGACTAAGATAGTCTTGGAAAGATTGGACAAAAGTTATGAACAAATTAAAAATTGTGAGATTCCAATGGAAGAGTTTCGGAGAGGTATAAAATTTTTATTTAATAACAAATATTTTGTGTTCAGCAATATTTATTATAAACAAATATTTGGAAGCCCGATGGCTCTCCTGTCTCTCCTTTATTGACTAATATTGTAATAGAAGATTTAGAGAAACATTGTCTGAGCGTGTTGAGGAAATGAATATAAAATTAAACCTGTTTTCTACTATAGATATGTTGATGATACTTTGATGTGCGTTCCGAAAGATAAAATTGATTTAGTTATCGAGACGTTCAATTCTTATCATAATAGACTACAATTTACGTTTTAAATTGAAATGAATAATTTTATTCCTTTTCTCGACTCAAAATTGATCAGAAATAATAATAAATTAGAATTTGACTGGTTTAGAAAAACAACACAAACTGACAGAATTTTAAATTTTAACTCAGAACATACAATTCATCAAAAAGTTAATATAGTTTCAAATTTAGTTGACCGGGTGTTTTTACTTGCTGACAAGAAATTTCGTTCACGCAATTTAAAAATAGTTATTAATATCTTGAAAAAGAATAATTATCCATCTGAATTTATCAAAAAACACATACACAAACGGATTAACAAATATAAAAAAGGGAAGAATGATTCTAAAAAAACAATAAATCAAAAACTACCTACAGTAGCTATTCTAAATAATTGCACCATCTTTGAAAAATGTTCTTCTGTGTTAAAAAAACATGAAATTACTCCAATATCGTTATTACAAAAACCATTACAAGAGTTCATACGTTTAGGAAAAGACAAATGTGATTCATTAGACAATACTGGTATAGTCTACAGTTTTAACTGCAAACAATGTTCAGCTGTCTACATAGGAGAAAGTAAACGATCATTAAAAATTAGATTAAATGAACACAAAAAAAAACATTGACTCAGATACAGTAGTAGCTACACATAGAAGAACTCTCTCACACGAATTTGACTGGGACAAAGCTAAGATATTGGATTATGAAAAAAATTACAAGAAACGCAGAATACCCGAAATGTTACACATTGGCTTACATAAAAACACTTTAAATAGAAAAGAGGATATACAATATCTTAGTTATATTTATAAGCGTTTATTAAGATCGATGAGGAAGGGATGATAGATGAAGAATATATATCTATATGTGTTGAAATACTTGATTTCTTACTGTATTGTAACGTGACTGGCTACGAGCTGTTCGTTTTAGCCTATAATAATTTGACTACGAGAGAAATCAGGTACACATATATACATATAATTTGCCTTTAAAAATGACATTTGAAACTTTATTCTTAATAATTTGTTGTTTTTCTGTCAATAAAGCAAATGTGCTGACGAAACGTTGTAATATAATTAAAATTAAGTGAATTTTCCATCTCGCATTATTTCCCTTTTTTCCATTATTACAAAATTTATTATTGAAGATTTTATACCATAAGCGAGCCAGACAATTTTACGTCAGAAATGTCTATTCTGATTTCTATTCCTAATAAAAGATCAATTAAAAAGAGTATAAATGAAAATCGTCCACTTAAGACTTTCGAATTTTGAGAAATTCATAAATATGAAAATTCCAAAATGCGATATCTTGGCAAAAAAAAAAGATATTTAGGTAAACTCAACGGCATTTTGAAG